GTCTGGGCCCAGAATCACCGCACAGTTAGTCTGGCTAGAAAAGTGATTATTGTACCCTGGATTCTTGCACTAGCCTTTACGATACATATTCTCATCTTCATGGATGTAGTAAATGATGGACGATGTAATACATACTGTGCTTTCAACTTGGCATCCTGGGGTGACACTGTTATAGAACAGTTAAAAGTGGCCTTAAGTATCTTGACACCCAAAGGGATCATCCAGTTTGTCATTGGCTTTGCTATGCCCATGTCCATTGTGGCTATTTGCTATGGGCTCATAGCTGCCAAGATCCGCAAACAAGGCACGATAGATACCAGCCGTCCCTTACGAGTCCTCACTGCTGTCGTGGCTTCTTTTTTCATTTGTTGGTTCCCTTTGCAACTGGTTGCCCTTCTGAGCGCGGTTTGGCTCAGAGAGATGTTAGTTGAGGGTAAGTATGAAATTCTTAGCTTTCTGGTATACCCAACGAATGCCCTGGCCCTCTTCAACAGCTGCCTCAACCCAATGCTCTACGTCTTTGTTGGCCAAGACTTCCGAAAGAGACTGATCCACTCCCTGCCCGCCAGGCTGGAGAGGGCCCTGTCTGAGGACTCGGCCCCAACCAGCCACACAACAACCAATCTGGCCTCGCCTCCTACAGAGGCCGAGCTACAGGCAATGTGAGAGGGACTGGGAGCATTTTTGAACTTTGCCTACTCCTCCCCTGCTCCTAGCGCCAGCTTCATCTTACTTGGGTTCATACTTAGCCATTCAATATGAAATCTACTTTGGTGTCTACTAATTTTGGGGGGGGATATAATGGACATAGGGTACTATTGGATAATTTGTGGTTTTGAGACCTCAGCCTATACCCTGGGGTAAGTGGAGGTGGGAAAGAATTGAGGGAAGAGAAAAAAAGTCAGTGTTGTGGGGAATTTGTAGAGCTTGGCTCAGAGAATTTATTAAGGGGAAAATTTGGCATTTCATCATTGAGTAAGATGTTTGTTGTAATAAAGCTATTATTATCATAATACAGAGGTTTTTTCTAATCCTAGCTTACTAAGAGTTTTCTTCATTTTTTAATCATGAATGGCTAATGGATAGTATCAAATGCAATTTCTTCGTATATTATGATGGTCATATTATAGTTACCTTTTCATTTACATTATCATAAATTACATTAATTTTTGAACATAAACCACACTTATGTTGCTAGAATAAACCACACTTAGTCATGATGTATTTTATATAATTAATCTCACTAGATTGGTTTAGAATTTCTGCATTTACGTTTACATAAAGACGGGTCTGTTCTTTTACTTTCCTCTAATGTCTCTGTCAGCTATTACATCAAAGTTACAATGGCCTCCTAAAAGAGCTGGGAAGTGATTCCTTTGATTCTATGGTCTGCTCTTATATCTTTTACTAATGTGTATAGAGGAAATTCACCAGCGAATCCAATTGTTCTGGGTTTTCTATACGGAAAGGCTTCTAATACCAGGTTCAATTTATTGTTATTGGACTAGAAATATTTAACATTTCTTCTTCTGTCAATTTTGAGAACGTGTGACCTTCAAGGAATTCAGCTATTTCATCCAAACTGTCCAATTGACTGGCATGAAACAGTGTGGAAACTGCGTATAGTACTTGGTATGGTTTCTGCTACATAATCTAAAAGCTATCGGAGTGAAAAAATTTTGGTTTACATTATTCACTAGTGATTACTGATAGCCTGTTTGTAAAACCGGGCCTGATATGTAATATACACTCAATAAGTAGTCATTGAATTAATTAATCAATAAACACAGTATCTCAAATAGTGTCAAGTGAGAATATTTAATGTCCAGACAAAATGGTCTCTGACCCTCCTGTCATGACTGGCCATGTCCTGGCCATGTCCAGAGAACTCTCACTCCCATGCCCACACTGTTTAAAAATTCCAGTGTGGTTTGAATTCACGACCACCTCAGCTCTTGATTTTCGGCTTCAAATAAAGCACTCTCACTAACTATTTACCGATGGATTTGGCTGGAAATGAATCGATTACTCAGCCTTTTGTTTTTCGTTTTTGTTTGTTCGTTTGTTTCCTACGAATAATCATTCACACATGGTCCCTTCTTATATAACATACCTTTCTGATTCCTTAGGAAAGATAGAAATCAAATATTGGAATGAAAAAAAAATTTGGTCTCAGTCCCCGGTTACTAGCAATGGGCTTCAACACTCTTGAAATTCTCAGAATGACAAAAGTGTCTTATTTCATTCATTAAGAGACCCTTTTGATCAAACCAG